TGTGTGAATCAGAATTGACAGCACACAACTCTATCTTCAGGAAATGTTACCACTTCTGTGAAAGTAAAGACTAGGAACCATTGGAACATGTACAAAATGCGGCTGCTAGAAAGGGTCAGGGGGTGGAGGGAGAATGCTGCTGCTGAGTTGCTATGGATGATTTTTATATAAAGGAAAGCATTTCATGGCCAGATCCCGAAAGTTTTGGTAAGGAGACATTTTTTCCAAAGCCATTCATGAGCTATGGGAAATAAATAATGAATATGATAGTGAAGCCTTTATGGAAGCTGAAGAAAAGGTGTACTGGGGTGGGGAACAATCCACTATAATCAAAAAGATCTATATTGTATTCCTCACAAACTGTTACATAGGAAGAAGAGCAACAGTTCTGAACATGTTGTTGTCATGTGTCATCAAGTCACCTGTGACTCAGCGACTCTATGTACAACAGCCCTAAACTCTGCTCTATCCTGTGCCAATCTGTCTCTGACACAGTTACCCTGATTACCCCACTCACTGAATCAATCCATATCATCGAGGGTCTTACTCTTCTGTGCTGTCGCTGTCCCTCCACCCTCCCAAGCATGACGTCTCTCTCCAAGGTCTGGTCCCTCCTTGCAACATGTCCAAAATATGTCAAAGAATCCTTGCCTCCAAGAAGCAGCCTGGTTTCACCCTTCCCAGGACGAAACTGTTTATTCTCCTAGCAGTCCATGGTATACTCAATACTCTTCTCCAACACCACAGCTCAAAGGCATAAATTTTTCTGTCATCCCTAGTCACTGTCCAACTCTTGGTCCAAGTATAGGTTTCACATAAGCACAATCAAGTGTTCTGGGATTCTTATAAAGCTTTCAAAAACTCAGACTACATTTCTAACTTGGACTTTAAAATTCCTGCTGTTGGTTATGAAAAGATTACACAATAGCAAGTTATTAACCTTATGTATAATAAATACTGTAATCCAGTTGCCATGCTAAGAATGGGATCTGGTATGTGTTGTAGTGTTAGGTGCTGCTGAGTCAAGTACAACTTCCATCAGTACACGTGGCACAGTGGAAGTGCTCCACGGGGTTTCCATGGCTTTAAGTTTTAGAAATTTGCCGTGTCTCCTCTACATAGGAGCAAAGTAGGTTTGAACCATCAACCTTTTACTCAGCAGCCAAGTACTTAACAAGTGCACCACCACAGTTCCTTACACTGTGGCTTCCTGTTGTTAGATGCCACTGAGTACGACTCATAGCAATCCTATGAACAATAGATCTTAACCCTGATCTATCCTGTGCATCTCTGACACACTTGGAGCCCACTGCTGCAGTCACTGTGTCAAAACATTAGATTGAGGGTCTTCCTCTCTTTTGCCATCCCTCTAAGCATGATGTCCCTTTCCAAAGAATAGTCTCTCCCAGCAATATGCCCCAAGTATGTCAGACTAAGCTTTGTTATCTTTGTCTCCAAGGAGCAGCACTCTAGCAGCACCCTCTACATGTTTGTCCTTTTGGCAGTCTATGGGATATTCAGTACTCTTCTCCAACACTACAACTCAAGGACATCAATTCTGTTTATTCACTGTCCAGCTCTCAGAAGCATAGCAAGTGATTAAAAAGACTATGGCATCAACAAGTGCACCCTAGTCTTCAAACTGACAACATTATCCTTAAGTATTTTGGAGTAGTCTCTGGCAGCAGACTTGCCCAATGCAGTGTCTCCTGACTGGTACCAAGGTACCAAAGGTGTTGACTGTTGATCCAAACAAGAATAAATCATTGACAACGTCAATCTTTTTCCCATCTGTCATGATGTTGTCATTTGCTTAGTGGTAAGGATCTTTGTTTTCTTGATGTTGACATGTAATCCATACAGAAAGCTGTTGTCCTAGATCTTCCAAGGCCTGGAACAGAGAGGTTGGTGAGCAACTTGTAAGAAAGCTGCATCCCTACAGGAGGCCCAGAGACCTGAGCAGATGTTGTGGGAAACTAGGAAGAAAGCAATGTCTTCTGGTGCCTTAGGGCCCAAAGGTATTGTGGCCCTTGGGCTTTATGTCAAGTATCAGCACTAAAAATACAGCTGAGTCACTGTCTGGGCCAAATAACAACATCAGGAACCACATCATGCCACACTGCAACAGGCCTCAGCAGAGCCCAGAAAAGAGTATCCTGTACCAAGATATTTGTATACCTGATGGTCTTTACAGTTTGCTGTTAGAGGTACAATACTCATCTGTTAGTTCATTACACTGAGGAATGATCTGCATGGTGCCAATTACTTTGTATCTTAGGTGTGTATATGTATGCTTACTTATTGTTTGCTCCTATTAGTACAGTACTTATGTCAGCTTGCTGTACTTGTGTAACCTGTAGGTTGCTGTGACACTTGATGCTATGCTACTAGTGTTTCAAATGCTAGAAGAGTCACTTATGGTGGACAGGTTACAGCGGAGCTACCAAATTAAAACACTTGCTTACACAGTGAAATTTGTTCTGTTTGGTTTCAAAGACCTTTCATTACAGTAACACAAAGAAGGTAAAGGTGATTCGGCCTTGCAATGAAAATTACATCAGTCTGGTACCTCTAAGTGCTCAGTAACTTTATTTTATTACTGTGAAAGGATTATATACATCTGCCTCCTGCACTTTTTATGTGTGTGTGTGTATACACACACACACACACATATATAAAGAGGTATAGTGAACTCTCAGAAATCACTTTTTAAGCCAACAACAGAAAGATTTATAAAGTGAATAATAAAATCGATGAAGAATATGTTCTTCAGATCAACCACAGAAAAGGGCAGCACGTACCTAAACACAAAGCTCAAAAGATAGGAAAGATGGGTGAATGGAAACAGAGAACCCAGGGAGGAAGTGGGAAGAGTGCTGTTACACTGAAGGCACTGGAACTAATGTCATGAAATAAATTAGTATAAATTTTGAATGGGAAACTATTTGCTCTGTCAACTTTTACCCAAACCACAATAAAATGTTTAAAAGCAAGCAAAGGGCACAGTGAATTGAACAGATTGAACCTTCAGTAGACACAGTTAAAGATAGCTACTAGTATGAGGTTTATAATGTAAGATAAAACTACACAGATTCTTAGGCAAAAGATAGGAAAAGGTTTTTCACAGAGGAAGATAGCTAGATAGTCAACAGACACATGAAGAAATGCTCAAAATCACTGGCAATAAGAGATGCAAATCAAAACCAGAATGAGCTACTCTCACCCCAGTAGCAGTAGCAAAGTTTAACAGGACAAGTAATAAATGTTGGAGAGGACTGCTGATGGGATTGTAAAACGGTACCACCACTCTAGAAGGCAGTTTGGCGTTTTGTAAAAAAACTGAACACAGAAATTCCATATGACCCAGCTATATCACTGCTTGGCATACACCCCAAGAAAGAGAACTGAGACACAAACAGAAACTTGTACCTGTACACCAATGTTCATAGCAGTGTTATTCACCATCTCCAGAAGATGGACATTGTTCAAATGTCCAAACACAATCAAACAGATTGAGAAATTATGGTACATTCACATGATGGAATACTATGCAGCATGCAGGAATAAGGATTTTGAAAATCACTATCTAACTTGGGAAGGACTGGAGAGCATTATGCTAAGTGAACTAACTCAGTCCTATAAGGACAAATACTATATAAGCCTAATATTGTAGAAACAGATAACTAGGAAAACATGTATGAGTATCCAAGGGAGGGAAGGTAGGAGCAGAAGAATGAGGATTCGCAAGGAGGATAAACAAAGGGTTGCACAATTTGATGGGTAGAGGAGGGGTGGGTAAAGGAAATGGGAAAGATCCAGTGTGACAAACAATATATATGAACTTTGTAAGTAAACAAGTAAAAAATAAAAACTTTATTTTTAAAAACGAAAAATTAAACAGATTCTTAACAGTATGCTAAAAATTACAAAAACCTTATTAAAGATTCTCCAGTTTCTTTTGAAGATTATTTTTATTTTATGTTTTACACTGCTTTAAACAACAAAAAAAGGTCATATAAATACAATTCTAAATACTGATTACCATTTTAAAATCAATTCAGAAGAACTTGCTGATTTCTCATTCATCTTCAAATTGCAGGAGCCCGTGCTTCAACACTAAGTGCTGCCTTTCCACACATCTCCATTACTGAGTCACACAGTTCAAGATACACAAAAGTTTACATAAACAGACACAAACTTGCCTTTTGTAAACTAAACAAATCTTTTCTGATGTAAATAACTGTTCCTTCTTGGGACTTTTGTTATATCCAGTTTACCTTCTTTTTGAAACTTATATTAATCAGACAATAAAAGGTAAAAGAGTTTATTTCTGAGAAAATCAAAGTGTTATTCATAGTTTCTCATTTTAAAAAGAATGAGGTGTTAAAGGCCAAAAGAGAAAAATTACTTCAAATGAACAAATTAAGAGAGATCTGAAACATAATACATTTAACAAGATGTGGGAAAATGTAAGTGCACATTCTATTGAAGATACTGATTCTCAAATAAGCAGCTCTGAACCTAATGCCAAAAATTTAGATTTTCCCAATTGAGAAGCGTTGGTTTTATTACTGGAAGATTTCTTAATTCTTGGAGGTCATAATAAGAGATCTGCACAATTTACTTTCTATACAAATAACTATTATACAGAGTTGTTGTTGTGTACCATAGAGTAGAGTAGGAACCAACCCATACTTGACCCTCAAGTGGGTTTTTAGAGGCAGTTAATTAAATTGGAGATTGCCCATCTTTCTCCCACGCAACAGCCAGTGGATTGGAACCATGTGCCTTCAGGATTGCAGCACCGCTTCTTCCCATTAGGCCAATAACAAATATAAACAGTAGCAAGAAAATAAACTGGTAGAAATAATTTTTCAATTAGTAATAATAATTAAGACCATCATTTCAAAGATTTTCTATACACACAGAATGAGAAAATATTTTAACAGGATTTTACAGCACACAACTGCATTCAACTCTAATTCATTACTACCATACTACTACACTTCCTTCTTCTTCAGGATTAGTGGACCCACATTGTCTCCTGTCAATTCATTGTGTTTATTATGTGAACCATCACAAGCAGGAAACTAGAAAAGAAGAAAAAAGTTGTGTTACTTTTCCATTCAATAAATAGAAAACCTGTGAACCAGAAAGTTTTTCTTAATAATCCCCATATAACTTTTGTTAGTAATAACTACTCCTCAACTTACGACAAGGTTCTGTACTGATGACTACTCTTTAAATCAGCTGTTATGAAGTAAATAAAACAGCTTCTTAAACATTTTTAAGTTTTCATTATTGTGTCTTTTTATTACCAGTATTTTTATCACTGAAGATTTAATGAGTAAACGTTTGAACATCAGCAAACTGAGATACAATACTGTAAGTATTATAAAATTTAAAATAGAGAGTTCATAAAAAACACTTGTAAATACACTTCATCAAATTGGGGACTATTTGTATGTTCTGTATGTAAACTTATACTGATATCATAGCAAATCTGATCACTTAAATATTTAAATTTATTATTTGTTGTCAATTTTAAATAACTGCATTAGGATAATTCCTTGATCTTTGGGAGCTCTAAATCTTAGTTTGTTCACCTATTCAAATTTAATTCTTTTTAAAAATGGAATTCAAACTTCATATAATCACTTCATAATACTTTGTTACATATAATTTTTAATATATACAAATGTATATAAGAAAAAATTAACATTTTGGTACATTTCCCCTTATATAATTATGTGCAATTACCTATTGTAAAGCAAACTAAGATAACATCATTATTTGCATTTGTTATTTTACACTCTGATCTCATAACATTTAAACATTCTTTATATGATCTCAATAACTTCCTAACATTCCATCACTAACAAACTTTTTTGTCATTCCTCTTTGATCAAACTGTTCTAAATTTTAATTTTATAAATGATGCTGTAATAAACAATGTTTTACTCAAAATTCCAAATATTCTATGATCATAGTACTACAAGGAACAAATTTTATCAATTGTACTATCATTTCAAATTTCTTTTTCATTTTCACATTAAAATCCATTCATAATTATAACTACTATTTACTAGCTCATATGGCTTAAGGCAGTTTATTTACATATATATTTATTGTGTGTGCAAATGTATAATTTGGGAAGGAAATGAGTACTACCTTATACTATTTAAAGCAATTTACATCTCACTAAATCCTCATAATGCCTGTTATGTTAATAAACCATTTTTAAAACTGAATATCAAAGAAATTAAAAACTAGGAAATGTCAACACCAGATTTCAACACAATTTATTCTAACTCCAAAACAAGCTCTTTCACCAAGTCTTACACCCTTTCTAAAAGAATGAATGTATTTTAAAAGTAAATAAATGTTACTCAAGATAAAGGCTGAGTCTTGTGAAAACATCAGATTTTTATCCTTTCTTGATGCTCTGATGTTTGAAATGTATGTAGTGTCAACAAAAAATGTCAAACTTTAACTTGGAGATGTAAGCTTTCAATATTGAATATTATGAAAGAGTCTCTCGTCTTACAAAACTTCAAAATTTGGGATTTAAGAAGCAAAACAATTCTTATATTCCAAAATTTTATTGTACATATAAACAGACATCTTACCGTCTTAGAACGCCAACATCTACAGTAGGCTGCTTTAGTGAGACACAAATCTTCAATGTTTATTTCATTTACCACTTTGGGATTTTCCTTTTGTATTTTAAGATTAATCAAGCTATCTTTCTGTTGCTTTTTCTTTGAAAGGAATGGACGAACTGCAAGGTAGCCAAGTAGAGCAAGTACACCAAGAAAAGGCAATAACCGAAGCCATTCTGAAACTAAACAGAGACAGATGCATTAGAAGTGCAGTCTTCTTTTTGTAATATAACTGAGCATGGCATATTTAGTTTTATTCTTGAGTTTATTCTTCATTAATTTTTATAATAAATTTTAAATAAAACTTTGACTAATGCTAAATATAACATGCTATATCTAAGATTTCTTGTTTTATGGCTAATTTGAGATTCTGTATAGTAGAAAACCAAATTTTTTTCTTTTTTTTATAAACATTCATTTTATTGAACTTTATGAAATATTATTTAAATTAAAAATTAAACAGTAAAATTAGAAGAGATTATCAGTAACATATATAGTTTAAAAATTACTCCGGATGAAATTTTTAATAGGAAGAGGTGCCCACAAGAAAATGGCTGTTAAAGTAACTATAAATGGACATATGTGGTATTAGCCTAAATTTTGGCTTTATCTTC